ATTTTTAGCACTTAGAATGTAGGTACTAAGCAGCTCAATGTGCAATATAAAATTTAGTTACAGCAATTACAAAAAAGGGGGAATATTTGGAATTTGAGACTAGTTAAGTGAACTGAACATATACTTCAATATACAAGCTTTTAGCTTCCCTAAAGGAAAGAAACCTCATTCATTTTTTCAAAACTCATATCTCCATGGAACTTGTTTCAACATTTTGAAGAAATTTGGAGAATAAAAATAAAGAATAAAAATGTTTATATTTATTACATTTACATGTACACTGAGTAATGCTAAGACATTCACAGAGAAAATAAATATAACCAGCATTAAATCAGTGAGGAAAATAAAGCTCATTTGATAGCACATTCTAGTTGTAGAACTTATGGCAGTTATCTGCAGTAGAAAATAAATATACTGAAAGAGGAATGCCTGTTCAGAACTATGGAATTACTGCTTTTGTTCACTGTAAGCTGCCTGTTATTTCTTTCATATGATCTATAGTAGTAACATGTCACGACAAATCCTATTTGTTAGGTATGTGTGCATTGTTTAATTTTACATTCCTTAGATTTTTTAAAAAGGTTATCACATTTTGTCACCAAACTTGTAAGAGACCAAAATATTTTTTGATCTGAGCAAAATGTACATCTGCATTTATTAACAAGACACAATTTATTGTGAAGTCCAGCATTGATTAAAGACATTAAATTTCTGATCCCTTTCTGCCTAGAATAGGTATGATCCCACTTCATGCATCTCAAGGGTCTATTGTGAAGTTTCTACTATGAATGTTAAATTGAGTCCTGCAGCTCCATTTAATATTGTTTACATACTCATTACCATATATCATCCCTTTTTGTAGAGAACCTAAGTCTTACATTATATTAGTATAACATTATAACTAAGGAGCGAGGGTTATATAGGAATTGTATGTGAACTGCTAATCCAGACTTCATCTGCATCAACTGCTTTGACTTCTGAAAAGCACATACTCAGGGAATCTTTACTGAAGTTAAAAAAAAAAAAAGCAGGATGATACCAGGTTCTTACATTCTGCAGTCTAAGAGTAGCATTGCAAATTAATAGGATCAGATGTTCCCATACCTCAAACTATCCAGTTCAACAACAAAAGGTAATAATTTAAATTGTGTAGATTGAAGATAAGAAGGGTACTGTGTCCCATACATAGATTTCTAGGTTTTATAATGTGTTGGAAATATGAACCTAAGATTTAAGGTTGATTTGAATATATTGAGTCTTGCTGGATGTCCAAAGTGAAGTCGGTTCTTAGAACAGACTTTTTATTTTTTTGACCCATGTTAGTTGATGCTTACAGTCTCCAGTCATCCAGATATCCCATATCCTTTTGACATCCGTAGGTACCATATTTTTTCCCATAAAATAAAATGAGATTGTAAAATATTCTTCATTACCCATTAAAAGTGTTTGTGTAGTAGCAACATATACATTGTACAAAGATGATTTTTCACAAATGCATGGCATAAAATATCCTTGAAGAAAAAAAAAAGCCCTTTTATGCAATAGTAATTTTAACTGAAACACTCCCCAATGCAACATTGAACAAGACTTAGAATACACCTTTTGATTATTGACTTTTGTGTCAATATGTTGTATATTATTACTTTTACTGTGTTGGTGAAAGTCTACATTGTAGTTTATCCAAATTTTACTTTTTTTACTGAAAATTAATATGGCGGCATATATTTGTCCATACCTACTCTCCATATGCATGAAACTTTTTTGTACTGTCTTGTTTCTTCAGATGACTTTCAAAATTTCCAATACCCATCGCAGTGTACTTGTTTGCAAACTATAAAATGCATTTTATTTCTAGTGGAAATCTTTTAACTACAACTACTACAAAGAATAGGGAAAAGGGCTAATAATAGCACTTTGGTTGGCTAAATTCATATATTATTGATCTGTGACACTAGACAACCCTGATTCACATTAATGGCTATGGGACTAGTAGTAGAGGACAATTACACTCCACTCTTCACACAAAAGGAGGGAAAGGCTTGCATACTATCATGGCAGAAAGCAGCCAATCGACACTTCAATGGGTTAAGATATATAGGTAAAGCAATGACAAGGTAGGTAGTGATATGCACAAGATTGGGAGAAATTAAGTTTAGGTAAGAGAATTTTCAAATGCAAAAAGGCAGTTACAAACAGATTTTTCAAAATCTTTCTTTTCTATTAAGATTAACACATGAACAAAAGTACTCACCTGTACAGTCAGCATATATCTATTTAATCCCCTTCCAAATTATTAATGATGTAATGCTTTGCATGTAATAATTGCTTTTGCTTAAACCTAAAATGCTTTCCTAATAAGCAGGATAGTTTGGAATTTGCATTAAGCTATTACTCAACTTGACATATTATAATCATAAACCAGTTGAGATTCAAAGGCTGATTTTTTCCTTCTTTTTAGAAGGGGGGGGGAGCAGCTTATACAATGCTTCCCCTGATAAGTTTTCATTTTATTACCACCTAGTTCAATTCACATTGCTTTAGAACCAATATATACTTTGCCTTTGTCTTGGAATAAGAGGAAAGTGGAAGAAATCATTAAAAATCAGGAAAATATTTAAAGGCATCTCACTCAACACAGCATTATAATAAGATATTTCAAAAGCTAAAGCACTTTATGTGAAATATAAATATGATTCCAATCATTGTATAAAATAAAGCGAGATAGACTGAACTGTAACCCAATCCAGTATCCTCCTTCTTAGCTCATCTCAAATTCTGTAAATCAGTTACTGAAAGTCATCTGGGAACCATCAAGAAATAATCCATATTCTTTAAAATAGTTATATAAGAATGTACAAAAAATGAGGCAAATAAAAAGGCTGACCAAATAATAAATAAAAAAAATAATAATAAATAAAAAAAATCTTTCAGTAATAATTGTCTTGATTAATTCTGCTTAGAAATAATAGCTATATGAATACAAAGAATCACCAATCTTCAAGATAACAAAAAAGAAAAGAAAAAAGAACTGCAAACATAATTCTTTTATCAACCTTACCTGCAAAATAATTCTAAATTTCAAAATTAATCTTTAACTGAACTTGTGCATGAACTCAGAATTGAATTTACATATTCAAGTATATTCAAAATGATACAGACTATAAAGATTCATAAATATTTGAAAATCATAATAAATAAATACTGTATATCTAAAACATAAGTATTTCTACATAATCATTAAAGATAATACTTTATGAATAATATCACAAAATCATATATTACAAACTATTGACAAAGATACAAACCTTCAAAATGGCTCTTACCACAATGCAAATAACCTTAACCTTTTCTCTTTTTGACAGTAAAGAATAGCTCCAATAGCATAGATCCATTTCATAACTGACATGCATTTTCAAAACCTCTTTATTTAGAAAGTATTGTTGATCTGAGATTGATTTTACTGTATTTTTTCCGCTTTCAGGATTAGTGTTAAACTTTTGCATTTCCTTATTCAAAGGAAAAGGAGGGAAAATGTATATCTTAGAGAATGAAGTCTATACTTCCTAAAGTTAATGCAATAATACTTGGATGCAAATGAAACTGACCAAGCAATAATTATGTCATGTACAATGAAAATATTTACAGATAATGACTGAAAATTCTAATCTAAAAGAAAAAAAGGGGGGGGGACAAATATATTTTCATATGCCTAAAAAAATAGCTCTTAAAACTGATAATGGCATTGCCAATACTGATGGTTTGTAAATTCACTATGGTCAGGTGAGTACTTCTGACCATGTAACTTACATGATATACTGTATGTTAAACCTGTATAAAAATCATAATGGGTCACTGATATCATAATGTTAGCTTAGTTATTGATATTCATGCATTTTTTAATATATTTAAATTCATTTGATGCTTTTTAAGAGATCTGTACAAGTGAGGACTGATAATAAAGCATATTTTGTATCAAATTTTGTGATGAAAAATAATGCACTAATTTTCTGACAATGGCCAAAACCAGTTTCCATTCATAATTATATTGCTATAACAGTCCAGATGTACAGTTTCTCTTAAAATCAAAAAGGTGATTTACAATTCACTTATTGTTATTTCATTAATTAGATTCACCTGATGTTGATGTATATTTGTGTAACTTGATACAATACATCATCTTCATCACATTAAAATAGAAAGGGTTTGAGACAATTTATCAATGTATCACTGGTTTGTCCTTGGGTGAAATTACTTAAAACTGTAATATTCCCAGATATTCCTGTACATGATCGATCAACAAAATATGTTCACATCTGATAATATATATCAAACTAAAAATTCGTCATTGAGTTACCAGCTATAAGCAATACAGCCATAGCCAGGCTTTATGTACAAACATGAAAAAAGTAACTAAATATATAATTATAATTTGTGCATGTGCTATCTTATCAAATAACTAACAAAATACTTATAATATTGAAATATCACAGACATCAGAAAAGCAACCTTAGCAAAATGAAGATTGTGACCTCATCTTTGGTACATAGCAGCTATTAAATTACAAAGCACCTAGATTCATATTTATACAAAAAAGGTCAACATTGTGGGGCCTCTGCATGGGAAAACAATGCAAGGCCTCAGGCAAGCAGATTATATGTTAATGTTTTTCATTTTCTGCTGTGTTTTCCACATCTATGAAGCCAATATATACTTCAATTTTATATATATATATATATGTATTTATATAGCTCACAAATGCTTATGACCCATAGAAACAGAATCATTTCACTGAAACTCAACACAATCCAAAACATAGAATGCTGTCATTGTAGTACTTCAAAACACATTGAGAACTGAATACTTAACCAACATGGTATTTCTAGGTCAATCTCCAAAAGGCCAAGAAGCTATTCCATCAAAATACAGTAGAGAAAACTGGTTGACTAGAAAAACCACGGAACTCAATTGGACGACCACTAGCGGCAGTTATAAAGGCTGCTTGGGCTTATGAGAGGAAAAATGTGGTAAAACCACATGAGGATCTACAATATTGGATTAGTAAAGACCTTTAGATATGCTGGTCTTTTGCTTACAGTACTGTATTGGATATAATATGGCACAATATTCTAAAGTGGTTTTAAATTTTACTAATCCAATGTTTCTATCAGAAGTTTATAGTAAATGTTTGGGCATAATAGTGCATAATGTCCAGCATCCCTATTCTAGGACCCTAGTCATACATGTTTACATTCCTTCATTGACACTTAATGAATGGTAAAATAAAATGAGTTTCACTAACAGCACATGGCATGTTGCAAACAAAGCTAGGGTACGACTGGTTTCTGGTTAGGGCCTGTGTTATCTTTGCAAAAAGTGTTTGAGCGACTACCAACACTCGGTGGTGTGGTAGTGCTTGCCATTGGTTTATTAGTTACACTGGAAGATCTACTTATATTCTCAGCTGCATTGGAAGCTTGAGTCACTGTGGGTGTGGGGCTCCCTGTCCGCCCCATGGGACGTCCAGAATCTCTCATGGGTGACCGAGTGGACCTCCGCCCCATGGTGCTGCCCCTTGACCGCGGGATAATATTTCCATTCTTGGCATCACTCTGCTTCCTTGGTTCACCTTTTTCAATTCTGGGCGTCCTGGGTGTGTGCGAACCACTATCTGTGAAGGCAGGTGGCGTGGCCTGAGTCTCAGGCTGGGTACGCCCTGCCCTAACAAGGCTTGAGGTACTACCACGTGTCTCTGCGAACCTCGTTGGAGTCCGGGACCGCGCTTCCGCTGGCTGAGTCCGAGCAAACTGGCAAGTAAAGAGGTATTGTTATTTCTTGTTCTATAAGGAAAATAGATGCCACAATACAATATACACAGATGGGTAATAATTCAATGAAATCTTTTCCACTGAAGATCCAATCATGGCACTCAAAAAAGAACAAGAAAAAGAGTAAAATCTTTCATTCTATTATTATTTTTCTTTTTTCTTTTTTACCTTGGAGTAATTTAAAAAATCCAGTGGGATAACAAAAGAATATACACATAAAAAATTACATAAATATATATTACTTGTATGTGTATGTGCATAAAATGAATCCTTAGTATTGAGGAAAAAGATAAGGAAAATGCCTGTAACAATCAATTTCATTCATAAAAAAAAATATACTCCCAAGGCGAAAAAAGCAAAACCATCCAACCTTTGCAGCATCTCCTGACCCTTCATTCAGGGAGGTCAGAGCTCGACCTCGTGATGCTGTGCTGTTTTTCCTTGGTACCTCATCCTCTGAGGCTGAGCTCCCAGTGGTCTAAGTGAGAAATGCAGAAGCACAAGGTTAAAGCCTTACTGTCTGCTTTAACAATGCTCATACCGACAGAAACCTTTAGGGTCGACATGCAAAAATAAAGACAAAGAAGAAGAGAAGTAGGAAAAAAAATTGCTGTAGCCTCAATGCACAATACGCATTACACTATTTGGCCTCTGCCTTCCCTAACAGAGCTAATTTAAATAAATTCACATTTTTTTCAATTGCTTCCTTTTTTTCAAAATAGTCTGCACTGACATTTCTTTCCCATATTATGTATTCAATGTTCAATGTACACAAATTTCCATGGAAAGTGAATATTTTACATATCTGAATATAATCCTGTAAGAGCAGGAAAATAACTGACATCAAATACAATGATACTACTGTAAAACAGAAATGACATATCATTAAGCTATACTATCAAAGTTTTAAGTATATTCTTTTACCTCATACAGGAGTGTACACCATACTTGTCAGCTCTAATCCTAACTTTGTTGGCATTTTATACAAACTAAATGACATTAATACTGAATGAATTTTAAATTCTAGGTTATATTACATTGATATACTTTCCCATTACTAAACTCTTTTAAAATAATTATCAGTGGAAAGGAAATCTTGAGCATAGTAAGCAGCAGAAAAATAAATAAAAATAAAATAAAATAAACAGAGAATATCAAGTTAAAATGAAGTTCAGCAGGGCATTCCCAAACGTTTCCATCCCTGGCTAGCATTTTCATTGCAATATTCAGCAGAAAAAATAGGACACAACATACACACAAACAAAACAAAAAACAAACCAAGTAACCTATCCCATACTATATGTTTCAAGAGGTAAATGCCTTAACCTTTTTCTTGTGGATTACATAGCCTTGTTCATTCTGTATATTTACCTTTCTCAATGAATGACAAAAACTTTAAGCTCAGCAACAAGGAATAAGGAAATACTAATTACCTGACATGCTCTGAAGATATCAAATGCCCATAACCATTAACACATCATTTCAAAATATCATCTTTTCATCAACCTCAATAAACTAAACTGAAAAGCAGAACTTCATCTTGAAGCAAATTACTTATTTCCCTGAAATATCTGTCCACAAATCTAAAGGCACTTCATGTACCTGGCTTTTAGAAGAGATTACATTTTCTATTGGAAAAAAAAAAAAAAAAAAAAAAAAAAAAAAAAAAAAAAAAAAAAAAACTTTTAAAAAATTTACATTCCAGGATGAAAACAACAGTTTCCTACATATTGACACAAGCAGAAGAATGTGCACTACAAACCTTCAGCTGAAGATTTGGGAAAGTTTAATGAAATGAATTATCACATTAACTTTTCACAAATTCATCTGTTGAAAGGAAAATTTTCTCAACAGTAGAAAGTGATGTCTATAGCATATAACCTTCAGCAACATACAGTTCTATGTTGCCTGATTTAGAGAAAATGAAGTCAAAGAATGGAGAGCAAAAGAAAGTGAGAGCATCTAAAGGGAAAAGAATATCAACAATCATAAGTTAAAACTCACAGTGTGGCTGGCTGTGCGGTTAAGGGTGGCTGCCCTCCTAGGTAGCTGAGAGGACTCCGTGGGCCCTGGGGTACGTGGCCGAGATGATGCCCCCGGCAATCTAGTTGGGGTGTGGGGACGCGCACGGCCAGCCGGCTCAGGTCTTGAGAGGGAGCGGGTGAATGTTGCACCTCGGGTGAAGGAGGCCATGGGGGTTGTGCGTCTCCCACTAGAATGGGAATCCTCGTCTGTGGAAGTGTTAGCACCCTGGAAAATCAAGAGTAATTTTACTTCTAAAATTCAGCTGCAAATAAAGAAGGCGAAAAAGAAAAAAGAATGAAAGAATCTTATTCACTTCCATTTATATCAATTTAAGAAATTCCTGTTACACTCTTCTTGACCCAATGTTGTTTGTGTGAGTCCTGACGTTCTGTGATGAATATTGTTCACTCGTGTACAAAAATAGGACATTTAATGTCCTGAAATGTCCAATACCAAACAACAAAACTGTGAAATGAGTGCCAATGATGGGGAAAATATATATATAAAAAAGAAAGAATGAAAAAAAAAAAAAAAAAAAAAGACTGAAAAAACAATAAACACACATTCGATACCATGTGACCAATTAAGGATGCAAATATCTTGAGAGCTAACATCATGCAAAAATAGTAATCTACTACTATTTTCTAAAATGTATGAAGAAACTTTGCAAGTATCTAGCTTAAAGCATTGGAACATAGTGCCTGTTAAATTAGATGCACTATAACTTACATATATGGGGAGGTAATGCCGTTCAGTTTTGTAGCATGGATGTAAGGATGGTTTTGTACATGTAGGTGTCATGAAAGGAAAAGATTGGTCCCAGTACTTTAGATAAGTGGAACACCACTGGGGTATATGTAAATCATTTATGAACCTACTAAACACAGAATACATGAAAATAAACAGCTCTGGATATTCTACACACTGCTTACTTAAACAGAAACAATAACAAACAATAATGACAAAGGTTACATATCCTCAAAACCTTTTGGTTTAAAGGCCACAGATTATACCTGCTTTACTTTTGAAGGTCGCTCGGCTACAGTGCGAGCAGATTGTGATCTCTGAATGGCTGCTTGTCTGGCCTGTGCTCTAAGTGTGGATGCTCTTGTGGGGGGTGGGGTGTGGGGGGGGGGAGGAGAGAGTCGGGTGTCTGGCAGCGAGTGGGGTCCTGGCCTGATGAAGGTGGTCTTCGTGGGCCAACTCTCTGAGAAGATGGCACAGCAGTCGCACTGGCGCTACGCATTAACCTGTGGTCTGCTCCTCGACAGGCGACCCCACTACTGCCATCACTGCTACTTCCTCTGGTTCTCTGTGTGTGATATTGCAACAGTATTGGTTTCATCATAGTAAACCAAGGAATAAGAAATTTTTTGCTACACTATCAGCTTAATGATCACCTATGCCAACTTCTTTTGGCTTTTCCTTCATATTCAATGTGTAATAAACAATACAAAAAAGTGAGAGTTGTTTAAATTCATTTTTTCTAAAGAAGAAATAGTTTTAATATGTTAACCTTTAATGAAGTGCTACTCAGGAGGGAAGGAAGCAAGGGAGATAAGAAGGAATAAAAATCAGAAGCTATATGCTCTATTTGCCATCTCAACAAGAAAAAAAATAGGCAAAATGACTAGTAATGTGTTATGCTAAATTATTGTGGTAATTTGGAAAGGGATGGAGGGAAGGAGGGAGAGATGAAAGGAGAGAAGAATTGAAAGGGTAAGAAGCAATTTGCCCTATTACCTATCTAAATAAGATATTGTTTAGATAAAATAACATGATGTGTTATGCTTGAATTTAGTGGTAATCAGGCAGGAGGGAAGGAGGGCAGGGGAGAAGGAAGGATGGAGGGAAGCAAGGATGAAAGGGATAGGTAGGAAAAAATAGCAATTTACCCTAATGCCCATCTAAACAAGAAACGGATTATATAAAATAACTTCTGAATTGTTATGTTTGATTTTAGTGTAATTAGGAGGAAGGGAGGGAAAGAAGGAAAGTACGACAGAAGGAAGTAAAGGAGGAGAAAGAAAACATAACTTACCCTATTTGCTGAAGAAAGCTTTGGCCTGGGGACAGTGGGTCTAGAGAATTCTACAATCACCATTGCAGCATCTTTGATTCTTCGTTGTGTACTGGTTGATAACAAAGGCCATTTCCGGCAAACAGCTACACGGTTTGCATTGTGTATCATGAACTTCTCAACTTGATTCAACAAGTTTTCCAAGAAGTTCAGGAAGCTCTGTAAGGATTTAAACTAAATATCAACATGGGCATTTTGTATCCTATGAAATGGATACTATAGTGACAAGATTAAATGTAAATTAGATATAATAGCATGCGAGACTCAAATTGCGTAAGGAGATACATGCTAATCCAACTTACTTTCAACAACAAAATACTAGGATGTTCCACTCTTATTAAGAGCTAAAGAATAGAATATAAACCAGTTTCATTAAATATAATGCCTGCTTAACCTTATCCTTATACACTCCGGAAATCGTAACTTCAAAATAAACACAATTATAGTTCGAACCTCTGAAACATCACCAAGTCCATCTTCTTCATTTTGTTCAAGTAGCTTAGCAAGTTGCAGATGAGACAAAACAGCTTGGTCAGGTCTCACCAACTCACATGCTACACGCATTGTTTCCTCTAAACTGTCAATATTCCATCCACTATCCTTTCCTAAGGCCAAGAACCTATAAAATATTTGTTAAAGGCTTTAGATACATGTCTTTTTTTTTTTTTTTTTTATCAGTTACTAGTTATATATACAAATAAAAAAGACAACAGACCATTTATACTGAATCTATTAATAAAATTTCAAAGCAAGTCCATTACATTCATCTTCATGATAAAAACAGAAAAAAATATAAACAGTAACATCTGCACAATAACCAGAATTTACTGAGGATAATCATCCACATTTCAACACACCTCTCTGATGACAACACTCCACTAAGGTTGGCAGCAATGAAACTAGTGGCAGACTCCAGCAACTGGGCAGCGGCATCAAATACTGGCTGTGACCATCTCACCATGGGCAAAGATGAAAGCACTCTCTCGCATCCTAAGGCAGTGTCTATCACGTTACCTACACTCTATAAAAGGAATAAATGGGATAGGGCACTTCATTTAAGTATGTGATTATAACCAATATTCCATCATGAAGTACTATCAAAGTGAAAAAGGAATCTCCTTACCATGTCATCTAATATCTGTTTAAGGCATCTATCCTGCACCTCAGGAGGTAAAGCAGCAAAATTTCGCGTTGGTAACACAACAACAAAGTGCTTGGCAACCCATCGCAAGCAACGATGATATAGCTCATCGAGGCAGTATGCACCAGCTATAGGCAAGACATCCAGGACTCCTTCTAGACATCCCGAGCAAGGCTGTGAAAACAAAAAATATGTTACCGTGAAGTACTTAACCCCTGCGATCCAGATGACATGACCATCACATCATGAAAAAATTTGACTTGCGAGGAGGGTGATGTGAACAGGCTCAGAAAAAGTGGCTGTAGGCTGGGTGACGTGGTCTTGCCATCTTGAGCAAAGGCCAGGGTGATAAAAAAAACTTGCCACAATTGCACAAGAGTCTAATCACCCTCTTGGAAGGTGATTAGACTCATTTGACATTTAGAAAGGGGCTTTTGTATTATTCCCATCAATAACCAAGTGTGGAATGTAGTGTCCGTCAGCCATGACTGGATGAAAATGGCATCCAGAGAGGATGCCATTTTCATGCTCGGCATACTATTCCTGGTCGTCCAGACTGGTGGTGCTGTCACCAGTCATAAATATATGTATATATGTATATATAAGTAGCACACACAAACACACATCTATTTCATTCATACATGTTTCCCACTGTCCTTTCACAAATCTAACTTCTTGGGTGCTAGTAACCGACCCTTGAATATTGTAAGAAATTTGAATGAAGTCACATTTCTATTATGAATAAGTCAATTTATGGCAAGTGAATATAAAATAGTCCATCAATATATACATATGACTGGATTATGTCATGATGTGGAACCATATGTGACTCATTCCAGCACAGCCTACTATGCTGCCATCCATGTTCATTGTCTTTTTTTTCAGCATAAAACATATTCTATATCATATATGGCCAACTTACCTTGTGGAAGTAATGACACATCTTGGCTTTCAGATGTAAAGAGATGACATCTTTCAGTCCATCTAATGCTAACATGTCAGCAAGTGCTGCCAACTCTCCCACTCTCACCCCTTCTGGCACTGTGCTACTGCCACTGTAGATGTGCTTCAGGGCTACTGTTACACAGTCAGGTGAAAACCTGGAAATTACAAATATTTAGTAAAGTGTGATGCTGACAGCTGATATATATGTTCAACAAGATCAAAGAAGAAAGCATTTTATAATGCTTTCTACATTTGCTCTCCTCTCTCTTCTCCCCCTCCCTCTCTCTCTCTCTCTCCCCTCCCCCCTCTCTCTCTCATTAATTTAATTATACTTATTTACACATTCTCTCTTTCTCATTCCCCCCCTCATTTCATTATGTCTGTCTGTCTCTCTCTCTTATTCATTGTTTTAATTCCCTCTCATTTAATTATGTCTATTTGTCTGTCTCTCGCTTGTATTCATTAATTCAATTATGGTTATTTACCCATCTTCATTCTCATTTTCCTCCTCATTTCATTATCTCTCTCTCTTATTCATTAGTTTAATTATGCTTATTTACCCATTCATTCTTTCTCATTTTCCTCCTCATTTCATTATGTCTCTCTCTCTCTCTCTTACTCATCAATTTAATTCCCCCTCATTCTCATTCAGTATATCTCTTTTTCTCATCAATTCTTCACAAGCTCTCACTACCACTTTCTTTCTTTCTTTCCCTCATTCATTCATCCACTCACTCTCTTGTTCTTTTACTGCTTGTCTGTCCACTGCTGGATCATCTGAATTTTCTGGTTTAAACTAATATAAAAATTTCAACCCTCTGATACTGAGTGGGTACACACATACATGCCATGTCTACTGTGACTGCAACTAACTGAATAACAGCACTGGCCAATTGCTTGTGTGATGCCATGAAGGCTATCTGAGATTTCCTAGGATACACTTTTGGTTTAGTGGCTAGGTATTTTAAGGGTGACTTCTGTTGCAAGTTCTTAGTTAATGAGAATTATCAAATAATACTAAAAACTTAATGCCGGCAGAAAAATGTTGTGTTCACTTTCTTATTTTTGGTTATGTGTTTTTGTACATATATGGCTCTGATAGTACTTAGCCACAAAGGAGTCAATTAATAGATCTTGTGACCTCACCTTTCCATGAAATAGTGGGGAAAACATTTTTTTTCACTAAAGCTATCAATATCAACAGTTATTTTTGTTATAAACATTATAATTACTATATTGTTATTGACATTACTAACAGCAGTATCAAATACTAGAAAATATAATTGAAAATCAAGAAAAAGGGTAAACAGGTGAGACAGGTTGTTCTCGTAATTGGCTCACTGGTGACTTAGTACTTATGGAGCCATTTATATGTAAAAACAATTACTAAATTAAACATAAGTTGGGCATGGCATATACACACATATCATCCCCAGTGGCAAGTAGTTAATAAAAGATAACTACAAAAAAAGAACACCTAAGCAGACACATAAGCACCTCCCACCCCGACACACATTCACACACAAAAGAGGTTTGCTCCTGCCAAACACCATTGCCAAAATAATCATCCTACCCTTGAAGTTTTATCACATTTCCTGCACTTTCCACCCAATGTCCTGAGAGCATGGCAGCAAAGTAGACACAACGGGAAGCCAAAATGCATTTGTGGGCCCGGATACGTTTCTCACCAATCTGTAAATTTTAGTCAGGAAATATGTTTTATTAGAGAAAGGCAACAATACTAACAAGAATAATGTGTAAATCCTATAACTAATGGGTTGCTGAGAAATGGTTACAATCATTATATATCATTAAAGATAAGTAACTACAGCTGACATAACAGAATTAATTTTTCTTATGGTAAATTGGTTAGGCCTAATTTGGTTATATATTTTCCATACAGTTATTCCTTATGATATTCTCTTGGAAATGAAGGAAATCTTTTTAAATGAGGAAAATCTTTTGGTCTTTAAAATAAACTCAAACTTTCACTACTTTACCTGTATTGTTACATCAGTGTTGATCTCGTTCTCAAACATGCGCAACAAATCTTCTCCTAATCTTGAATGTGGATCTGATCCTGGCTGGTCAGATGGTTCTGTATAAAAGTGTTCTCATCAATTTCCAGTGCATTTTTGTGCAACTAAGAATATGCCCTATATTCATGCCTTTAAGGTGGCCGTTGCACTCGAGAACAAAGTTTATCCTTTATGATCAGATTTTTGCGATTTTTTAAATATGATATATATACATATACTGTGATAAACACCACCAAGTTTCTTATCATTTGAATAATAAACAACAAAGTTATAAAAAAAAGCAAGTTTTTGAAAAATCACAAAATTTGATATTCACACTTTATCCATTAACCAAACTTGTTGAAAAAAACACAACACATACTCTATAGCAATACCTAAAATCTCTATTAGACAGATTTTAAAATTTCCTTTTAGTTTAGTGGGATTTTTTTTTCCTAAATGCTCAGTCTTATGAACTTAAGATATAATATATGGACTTTTATTATGTGAATGAAATATCCTCAGATAGAAAAAAATGCAAATTTATTCAGTTTTAAAATGACCCAAACCCTATTAGAATCTTCAAAGTAGTTATGAAGAAATAGAAAAAAAATGTTGACAAAGGTGTAGTCTTGAGATATCGGGCTCCAAAGTTCAGGATACTTTCCCTCGATTTTTAAAAATTGATTGATTTTTTTTTTTTTAGAATTCTTATCTTTGTGTCAATCTTGCTGCATTCCATGGCATTAACATGGTATTCTGAAGTGAAGCTGGTAGCTGGTCCCCCCCTTTTGCAAAGTACGAATGGCAATAACTGCACATGAATGTAGAAGTAGCGTGTGTCACCACAAGCTTTGCAGTGCCTAACCTAACCGCGTGAGGTATTATAACTAATTTTCGTCACGACGGCCCCCTTAAAACTGTGGATTAAACATGATACATAACCTAAAGGAATGATAAAGTATGAGAATAAATAAAGATTAATGATTTCTTTTTGAGAAGTTACTAAATATCTTACACGCATGGTGTGCATGTGGTTAATTTTTCACTGCTTGTCCAAAAATGTTATATACCATCTATAACAAATCTTTTAGAATAAATGTTTCTGTATCAGATATTCACCATTTGAGCGTTCAATGCTGCTGAGAAGACTGCTCACATCCGACACCTCAGAAGCCCCGTCTGTCTCTTGAGGAAGGCTTGTGGACATCACATCGCTGAATGATATGCTCTGAGATGGCCCTAGTTCAGAGATTGAAATGTCTCTACTTGTGGCCATGTCATTAGTTTCAGATGGCTCATCTTTGGTGTGTGAACTGTCTCTGTGAGTACCTGTGTTTCTCTTGTGCGGGGAAGGCTTTGCTTTGCTAGTCTTGGTTGATGCTTGGGACTTCAAGGTACGAATAGGTCTTGGGATGCCAGACACAAATGGAGTATCTTTTCCACTGGATGATTCATTAATTTTGTCATTCAGGCTGACATTCTTTCTTGCTGGAGGCTGGGCTATGAATTCATCTCTATCTATCACCGATTTTGTCATTAATTTGCTTGGGCTATCTTGGCTTGAAAACACAAGTGAATCACTTGGAGCTGATCTTGACATAGGATTGGGGGCTTCGTTTTTCTTTTTGGCTGGTGGCAATGGACGCCTTCTAGGCTTAGGTGATCCAGTCTTTGCTGGAGAATCAGCTTCAATAAATACAAAAAATCCTTTCTTTTCTTTGCTACCATTTCCATCACCTGCACTCCCAGCACCACCATCAGAGGTCTCATTTGCATCCTCTGTTTTGACTTCTGATTGTTTGTGTTTATTTTCTGCAGCCGCCCCCAAGACAGGAGGCAGAGATGCAAATTCAGCTTCTGGATGAGCTTCCACAGACTTTGAGAGTGCTGTGCTATCACTCTCAGATTTTCTCTTTCTTCTGACTTTGGGAGAAGGAGTGTCAGCCTCTATGTACATGTAGACTGAAGATGAAGGAGCCTTAGCTTTGCCTCCTTCCTTCTTCTCTGTTTCTTTAGGATTTTCTTTTGCTGGAGAAGGGATCTCATTTAGGTCAATGAACATGGGGAAAATACTCTGTGGTTGTTTTTCTTCCTCCTCTTCTTTAGCTTCTTTCTTTGACTCATCTTTAGACTTGCCTGATTCCTCTTCATCCTGAGGGCCAATAAATCCAAACACAAGAGGAATAGCATCAACATCCTTGACAGCACCCATGCTCACTTGTCTTTCACTCTTAGGAATAGGTTTCATCTCCTTGGCCTCCTTTTCTCTCTTGAGTGTGGAGCCTCCAGATACAATGGGTTTATTTTCCCCTAGTCTACTTAGCCTTGGACTTCCTGTTGCCATACCCAGAGAACTCAGCTGGTGGTCCTCTACTCTTGTTTCCCTGGCTTCACCTTTGTCTTCATTCTTTCCCTCACTTGGGTTGGAATCACTACTTCTGCTTTCATTTTCTCTATCATCCTGTTCTTTCTCCTCAGTATCCATCTCCTCTTTCTTCACATGGGATATGCCACCATCCACAGATTTTCTTAATTGTCTCTCCTGTGAGGCTTTAGCTCTGTAAAGGGCCTCTGCTTCTCTCTTAGCTGCAAAATCAACACTGAGTGAATCAGGTGATGGTGAACGAGAGCCTTGCTCCCTTCTTGCCATTTCCCTTTGAAACTCGTGTGTCATTTGCTCTGTGCACTGACCTTTAAGTTCTGGACGGTGACCTGTAACACTAGTGAGCTCGGGATTTGGATCCTCTATTTGATGCATTACTGGTAAACCAACAGATGCTGGTCGAGGTATAGGGTCAACGATGGGTGCTTCTAAAGCACCTAGAGAATGAATACTGCCAAGCATAGCACTGTCAATCATGCTGCTGTACAAAGAGGGTATTCCCATACTACTCTCGGAACTCATACTAGCTGTCATCATACTAGCAGTCATCATATTTGTTGTAGGAATGTTTGAGTATGTTTGAAAGTTGTGCTCGAACAAAAGTGAGCCTTTCTTTCTTTCCATCTCTCTTAATTTTTCTGGATCTTCTATGTTGTCTGGATAAGGACCTACAATTTCATCTGAAATTTTGCGCTCTTTTCCATTCCCTGTGCTATATCTCTCCTCAGAGCGGGAAGCTGGGATGCCCTTAGCTGAACTGAAACTGACATGAGGATTGCCTGATATTTCAGCTGCCACTCCATCATCTCCTCTGTTGGGGTTGGACCTTTTAGGCTGATCATCCATTTTTTCAGCAGGATCCTGATGTTGTATAGCACCACTGATGATTGGATCAAACACTTCAAATGTTCGTGCTCTTACAAGTGGTCTTCTGGGTTGCATAGATTCTTCTGATTCATTCAGATCATTCTGTTCTCCTGTGTCATGATTGTAGACTCCCTCACGATTTTCTGACTTCCATCTCCTGCCAGCACCTGTAGGGCTTCCCTCTGAATCCTGACTACTAGAATTTTCTTCATG